GCAGTCTATGCCTTGTAGAGAAGAAATCGTAGAGGGGCTTGGAGATTTCCCTGACCGATTAGTGAGGGAACGTGAATTCAGTGTAGATTTAACGTTGGTATTGCATAGAATAATTTGCTTCAGGTGGCTTTCGATCATTAAAATCGCAGTGAAACTCAAATGACACTAAAAATTATTGACAAAGGTTTGTGGTTCTACACTCGGCGAAGTAGAGACAATGTCGGTCGACTGTACCCAGTTGAGAATCCCGCCGAACGACTTACCAGATAGCTTTGCGACACAGAGTCCCCTGTCGGTGATGTGACATTTTGTCCAGGATCACTCGAGGGGTCGTCCACTGATTTGAAAAGTGTACTACGATACTGATGTGGGAGTACACCCCTTCGGGACACAAGCTGCACAGGCATTGATCCATATGGTCTCACGTACTCCTCGGTGGTCCCTTTGGTATATCTTTGTGGGGACCTTGTACGCGCACGCATATTCGTCCAATGTGCTGAACCCGAGGTCTCGGATAACATCAAGTCCATGAGAGGTAATTCAATGGCTATTTTAAGCGTTCCCGCACTCTGCTGTTCACCGGGCGATTTGACCAACACGCCACTCCATAAGCCACCCACCATTCCTGTCGGCGTTATTGATCTTTGATCGCTCGTGTTTGTCTCCGACTTGAATTTTAATAGAAATTTCATAAGTTCGAAACAGTTGGATGGAATACACTAAAAATTTGCAGAAATTACTACTTTGCTGCTCGTACAAAATTATTTGAGTTTGGCCTTCGGAAGAAAAATTGGTATGATCGTCCGGGAATCGGGGAACTGTTCTCGTGCTTTGTAAAATGATTCTGTTTATTTTTTTTCGTAGTTAAAATAACGAAGACTGTTCACACTCCTATCCAACCTTCCTTACACTATTTTTACTGCCACTTTTATCATTAAGTTTCCACATTTTCTTCTTTCTCTCCAAAAAGACATCTCTGTAATGAAGATGGTTTCCGCGGAACACCGCTTTCGAGAACTGGTTGGTCCAGTCAGTTGATGAGTAGTTCTCTTCTACCACGATTGCTTAGGTAAAATTCGTACAGCAACCTATGATGTGAACCAGCGTACAAGGTGTCTCCAAGTACAAACATCAAGAAAAACGTTCAGCACATGGATTTGACATTCAAGGAAAAAGTTTCAGAACTCCGGCTTGTTCGACAAGCAAATTATATTTGGTAAGACTGTTTATTAGAAGAACCAGATCCAGTCGTAATTGGACTACACAACCACCAATGGAATAACCGTTTTCGTTAAGACGAGTTCTATTTTTAATATCACTTTTTGGTCCGCCTAGAACTTTCCACGTGAGCTGTGTAGAAATCCCGTTTTTGGCTGCACATGACACGACTGAACGCGTCAGTGTTCAATAGATCAGCTGATTCGCATGTTCATTGGCTTTCTGGTTTGGCCAATCGCATCGGGGCTATCAAGCGGCTATCCAGACTCGGGTTCACGGTATTAGGAAACGTGTTGTCCACAACACCGGTCAAACTCTGCACCAGTTTCGTAAAGACATGAATGTACTGACTGTGCCGCAATGACAGAATGTGAAAATTCACCTGTCCTGGAATTTCAAACCGATCAAACTTTCACTTAGCACGTACAGTAGATGCGTGGTGAAAGCCCGAAAAGAGCGAAACTGCTTTGTAATGTTAGCCAAGGGTCATTAGTCCTGCACACCCCACGAATATCCAAAATCCATCTGATTAATGGATGCATCTCATACTACTTGGCCACGAGTGTGGTAATCCAACAGTATTTAGTACCACTTATCTTTGAGTCACGTGATTCCTTCCACTTTGTTCCATTCTGAATGCCTCCTGGGGCGACCGCCATCCAGACAAAAGGCACATCTGCCCATTGACCTATGGGGTTGGAGCGAATGCTGGCAGCTCAGTTTGAGGTGGGTGTTGTTTTGTTCGCTGAGTTGGGCAGTTTGGTTGCAAGCGTAACACCGCTAGACAATTTGATATCGTCCCTAGATTGTGAGTGGAAGTGCGTTGAGAGTGGATAAATCGATATAGGATGCACTCATCCATTCCGACCTTAAGTGGTTATTAAACGTTTGGATGTCCACTGACATAAGCTTGCTGCTTAATCTGTTTTCTGATTGGCGGTTGCCCGTTTAGCCCTATGACGAAATGTCCTGTCCCCACAGTGCATTTTTTGTTTATTCGGTCTGAATTTGTTACTTTTAGCTGCCTATTCCTCGCTCATAGTGGTGTGTAGACAAGGTTGAACTGAATATACCAGTGTAACAGCAGTTACTGCTGATGGGGCATGCGAGTAGTATATGGTTTCTCTCGTAACTCCGCCTCATGTTTAAGTGAAGTCGGGGTTTGCAAAGGAACTTGTGGAACTGATTTGCAGCGTTCGTTTAAATTGCGTGATGGTCAATGAATATACACGAAAGCTCAAGAAGACGCTTGAGGATGTTCAGTTTTTAAGAACAAGGTGCATATGAGAGGCTCCTGAGCTGTCGATGAATTTTCAGCAACCTTATGAGTAGTAGTGCATTATGAAAGCCTGAACAGAGCTTCAGTTTGAATACTAGTTACACGGTATGTTCCAGTTTCTCCACCACTGCTTCGATAAGCTGCGATTTCTCTGGCGGTTTTACAGTTGTTCGTACTCCCGTCCCTCAAATTTGTAGTAAATATCCATCCAAAAGGTAGAAAATGGTTCCCATTATGTTCGGATTATTTCGAAGTAGTTCTGTCAAGATCAAATAATGACTTGCCAGCGAAGTTTGAAAGCCATTACTAGCAAACTCAGCTGCGCTGGTCACTGCCATCTTCCCGGATGGGGACCCCGAGACGGGTCACATCAATGGTTAGAGACATTGTCAGACATGGGTACCAGACGCGCCCCCAATGGCGCTCATGCATCCAAGCTATTACCTTTTCAATGAATAGCCCTATTTTCGACCACCCCCCAACTTAACCTTCCACCTACAGTGCTACATTTAGGCACCAGTTTATCAGCTCCCGCCTCCTAGGCGCACCTCCCACCTCCCCGAATCATCGGGGAACAAAACTGTGGCGGCTATTCCCACTGTACGACAAGTGCGCGGTTCTTACAGCTGACAATGATGATGATGATGATGATGAACTGATGTTGCTGTCTTTGATGATGATGATGATGATGATGATGATGATGATGATGATGATGATGATGATGATATCTTACCAACGCAAACATCCAATACCTGAAAATCAGAGTGGCAAGCAACTATTACTCACCTCTTTAAAAGAACTTGGGGCGCTGTGTTCTACATCCGTTGATCCGCTCATATCCGATCTCAGCTGAACGCTACACATCCTTATTTGCGGTAACCAGAGTGCACAACCTTATTCTATCTATCTCAGTCTGGTTCTGTTGCCACAACCAAATAGGATCCAAGGTAATACTCGGCGGCGGGTCAAAGATTGTAAACCCGATTCTGCCATGAGAACTGCTAATCCGTGCCTTCACGCTAACGTTCGATAGAACCCATCTCGTTTTTTATTGGTCCATCAGTATCCACACCACCCATGCACGTTTATTTTGCTTACTGGTAAACGTTGAAGTTAACATTCTGTCACGTGATTGTTCTGTTGACCATTTTTAGATCTTTAAACTAATCCAAGGTACGTATTTTACTTGGATTAAATCAATACTGTTTGATCAATTATAGTTTAGTCGTGTCCCTCAGGAGAGAAGCCTGTTGGCTAGAGCTGACATTTTTCACGGGAATCGGGCTAAATATCTAACATATATTTATCCAGGTAGCTCAAAATCGTTCGCTGTGTTAATAATAGTGCAAAAGTTTGACACTCATCCGCAATTAATCCATAGGCATCATCCACGAGTGCAGTTCTCCATGCCGACATCACAGGCAGGTCTGTGTCCGCGATGGTCGGGTCCTTAAAACCGGAAGCAGCACCAGAATTATGGCTTCTAGACTGGATCTGAGAGTTTGTTCTCCTTTATCAAACGTCTCTTTCGGCCCCAGAAGAGACCAGGAACTCGATCAATCAAAACCATCTTAGGGAAACGCGGCAGAGTCGTGCAAGCCGGGGAATGGCAGACCAGGTCGCCGATCTTCTTGGGGTCACTGGAGTTAAGTATGAACCCCTTGGTGCTAGTCCTTTGTTTGGACGTTCGATGACTTTTCGTTCCCTCGAAGGAATACACTATTCAACCGGTTGCTTAAAAATCCTAGACAGTCCAGAAACCACTGCTTTCATCGTATGGCTCATCATCAATCTTATCCTCCATTCGTGTGAAACAGGAGGCAGACTTTGTGGAACACATTCCGTTGAAAAACGTCGTATTCTTCGTTCTGCCATCCATAGGTCCTGATTTCTTGAAAACTGAACAGCAACTGTCGTAGTTTAGACTAGTTTTGCGGAAGTGTTTTGGGCCACAGGCTCTTTAATGCCTTCTCATTACCGTGAACCCCGGTCCGGATAGCCGATTGATAGCCTGTTGCGCTTGGCCAAACCAGAATGAGTCAATGAACGTGCGAACCGGCTGATCTATTGATCACTGTCACGTACAAGTGGTCAAAAGTGATCATCCATCAAGGACGAGTGAAGAACAACCAATAAAATCTGTCTGAACGAAAGCAGTTATTCCATTTGCTGACATGTAGTCCCATTACGTTCGGAGCTGGTTCTCCCAATAGGAAGCAAACAGTGAAAGAACTGACAAACCGAAGTGTCGGGGGAACATTCCACTTCGCCATTATCACATAACTCACGCGTGCGACCAAAATATAAGCTATTATTCATAGCAAGAATAGATCTGATAGTATCGACAGCCCACTGTCAAAGAGTTTTCAGCAACCTTGTGAGTAGTTTCCCCTATCAAGGAGTTGTTCTACGATATTGTGGGCTTGGTTCGTTGGATTTATCTCTTATCCAAATAGTTCGTCAAACGGGTGCCAAGAAATCTACACCAGTAGATGGCAAAATCCGCCATGATACCTGATTAAAGGAGTGTCACAACTGTTGCCAACAGCCAATCCCCTACTGCAAGCAAATAGTTGAACAGATCTGAAAATCAACTTGTGTTTTGTACAGCTATGCGACCAAAAAGCCCAAAACCACATGAGGCCCCTCTTGTTAGCCTCAGCAGTCGCCACTGTGCGCACAGAATCGCTCGAGAAAAGAACACCTGGCTTCAATGTTTTGATTCAGTTGTCGACCGTTGTCTTGCTCGACTTTTTGCCAACGCCTATCTTTATTCGCTACATTTTCGACATTTTGCGGCTGAAGCGTACCACAAACCTGCTGCACTCTCCTGCATTCTCTGTCCACACTTTAGTTAAATTTTGAAGTCTACCATTAGTTTCAATTCACCTCACCCCAACCAAGGGTTCAAACGCTTGATCAAATTGGAAATCGATAGTCCAACAGCAGTTAGATTGCCAGCATGCATGGCATTAAGCACCCGGTTACGTTAGTGTACGTTTTTAACGAAACCTGAAAACGACCTTTGCTCAGTTGCCTGTCGCTCATAGGTGTGAACTACGTGGTTCGATTTTGTCGTACTCCTGTCCTTTTAGGCCTCATAATGAATCAATCTGCAGTTTGAAGTAAAATAACTTCGAGAAATACTTTCATTTGCAAATCAATTTGGTTTTCATGAGAGATTCAACTAAATCTCTCGTTTATGATATTCAACAACTGAATGTACTGCACACAGGCCGCCTCATGTTTCAGAGATATCGCAGTATATTTTCACGAAGGAAACTACTCACAAGGTTGCTGAAAACTCTTCAACAGTCCGATTTGGGTTCAAGTAGAACATGAGGTTCACGGAAACTCGGGGACCACGCCTACGTGATGAGCCCCGAAAAGGGCGAAACCGGTCGTCGAAGAGTTTTCAGCAACCTTGCGAGTAGTTTCCTTCATAAATTAACTTAGGTTCGAATTATTCAAATCCTATATCACATGTTGCAAGCATCCAAGAGCATTTTTCAAGAAGAACCATCACCGGTGGCTAAGAAGTAGATGAGGACTCATTCTTTCAGAAGGCCTTGGTTTAATAAGCATTCCTGGAACGATTATTTCTCAATCGGTTCCAGTCTAAGATTCTGTTCCAGAACCGCCGTACGATCATGACTGCATCATGAGCGCTAACATGTGGCTTATATAGTTTGGTAGCACAATTCATACACCCATAAATCATGTGTCGAAGTGAGGAACCACACCTTTGTCGGAATGCGGATGCAAAGTAAGAAAGCCAAGTATCTTCTGCGGGTTACTCTGACTTGCAGTTTTGTTTGTTTTCCCAGTGTCACCGACCAAGATGACAACCAAATAAGGGGGACTGTTTGCCTGCTTGGATCCTGAAGACAAAAAACTAATTACTGTGAGTGAAACAACTGTCCAGAGATGTCCGTATAATTGACTTGTAAATGGAAGGTACGCGGAAGGGTCACTGCTTGTGTCCAAAATTTGCCTATTAACATTATCGATTTCTTCAGAAACATATAACGGCAATAGTTCTACAGACCACTGCCGTTCATCAACAATAAAGCTCTCTGTATGTGAACAAGGTTTTTACCCTGTGTCTCCTACTTACCAATAAGGCAACGATTCAACAGGGACTAACAGAGAGCTTCCACGAAACGTGTCTTGATTTCGTTGAACTCTCCGAGCAGAGATACTGTGTCCATGAGCTAAAAGTCACATCTCTTAACACTCCCTGTCTACTTATGAAGCTCTCAAATCTGTCAGAACAATTTTACGACTGTCTCGTAGCTTACTGAATGACTACTCACCACGCACTGGCAACTTTTCTATTGATAAGCCCTCAGTATTCTCGCGAAATACACTCATTTGCAAATCAATTTGGTTTTCACGAGAGACTCAATTGAATCTCTCGTTTATGATGTCCTCCAGCTGAATGTGCCGCATACAGGCCACCTCATGATTCAGTTGGCACGATATTCGAGATATCGCATTATATATTCATAAAGGATACTACTCACAAGGTTGCTGAAATCTCTTGCTGATACAAAATTTTACCTCTGAGTTGGATGCATTTAAAAGTCAATTTGGACCCGGTTTTGTAACATGACTAGTCTGAACTCCCACCACTTGGATTCTGCTCAAAAGATTCAGCCCAGACACCAGTATCTCAAAAAAAATTCTCATAAATTTGAAATCAAAGTACATGGCTGACAGGTTTGCCCGATGGCTACCCACTGTTAGACACTTTGGCTTTGTTTTCGTACCACATTTTCCAGGATATACTTACCAGGTGTTTCTAGGCGTCTAAAGCATTCCGAGGGTTCCTATTGTTTTAGACTCATTCAATGCTCTCCTTACTTTGATGATCATGGATTCCATCGTGCTGAGCTTTGGATTGCATTTTCTTGAAGAAATACTACTTTCAAGGTTACTGAAATCTCTTTGACGGCCCGCAACCGATCATTATCCTCTTGATGCCCTACAGGTTGGCGCAATCTTCGAGGTTCCGACAGATTTTTGTTCAGGCTGAGCACAAATTTTATGAACCTCTAAAAGTACATTTATTCGTACTCTAGTTTGGTTGTAATATCACGGCCGAATAGCTCGTTCGTGATATCCTCTAGATGAATGCGCTGCCAAAAAGTCGGTTTCTAATTCAGTTTCAACATTATCCACGACACATATTCAGGAAAGAAAACCAATCCCAACATTCCCGAACTTTGAGCGTAATACACTACTTATAAGGTTGCTGAAAATTCTTCGACAGCGCAAGACGAGTTTCACCCTCCTTGCGGCTCACCAGGTAGGCGCGATCCCCGGATTTCCGTCAACATTATCTTCTACTTGAAATCAAATCGCACGAAATTAGCAAGATACACTCATTTGCAAACAAATTTGATTCTGCGAGGGACTCACCTGGAACCCAGTCGAATCTCTCATCTGTGATGTTTCTAAGCAACTCACTGTGCAGCGCCAGACCGCCTCATGTTTCAGTTGGTGGGATTTTCTAGGTATCGCGATACATGTTTAGGCATAACGTACTACTCGTAAGGTTGCCGTCAAAGTTTCAGCAACCTAATGAGCAACGTATTACAAATATGCTAGATAGGTATTCACTCCCATGATTGCTGACCTTTCCTTCGATAGCTCAAGATGCGTTCTGCTTTGCGCTCATTGTGCTGGCGCAGTCCCCGAAAAAATGTAACTGCACCGTGCGAAATGTGCAAACTGAAAAACAAGACGGCCTTTCTGCAACTGAAGAATATGATAAACAGCCAAAATATAGTGAAATAAAGTACATTCCGGGAGCCGTTGCACTAACTTACAAACTGAATTCCACAAATCAACAAGTGGACGAAAAGAGAGACTGGGAGTTGCATCACTTTGGCACGTCGGACAGACCCCGGATGAGTTAGCCCATTCAGCTACAGCAGTGGACTGAAAGCTGT